GGCTGATGGCAGTTCTTTATCCTTTCATAGTAATTTTGGATATGGAGGATCTTGGGAATAATGAAAACCTTTCTCCTGTTGGTGAATGTGTGGTTATCCAAACATAAAGAAGGCTTGCATCCTGGATTTTATGGGTACATGTAACAAACAGCACGCTGGTTCATGAAATATTTCAGTCGTTCTGGTACACTTAACACTATCAAAACCAAAGTAATTATGAGGGGAGGGAGGTGTATTGAACTCTTGCATCACCAGATAATATGTAGTCTTGCATTAATATGTCAAAATGTAGGAAATAAGTATTTTGACTTCAAAGATTAGGTTTAAGTGATTTATCCTTCAACTGTGTTCACAGTACGAGCACCTAGGAGTAACTGCTTATGTTATGCGCTGGGTGAGGCAATTTGAAGGCCTTGGAAGAAGGGGGAAAAGCCAGTCGAAAAGTAATTTTCAAAAATTTGTCTAGAGGATGTGTGTATTAAATGTTGGAGAAGTTTCAGTTCCTATCCCTTGACCCAGGGACAAAATGTATATTGAGTAAATGTGGGATGGACCAACAACAGTGTTATAAAGACTCATTCTGTTCTTTGGAAGAGCTGGAAGTGATTGAATGAGGCCTTGAATATGAGCTGACCTAACAGGTGTGAGCACAGCCCTGGGCTGTTTCCTATATTTGTAAACCAGTTTGGAGTGGAACTGAAAGAACACTCATGACTAAGGCACTGAGAGCCCAGCTACTGCTGTATTGCTCTCCAAGCTGGGTATTTTAATGTTGCTTGTATGCCACTATTGCCATAGCAGCATTGCCATACCATGTCTCTTGGTACTTGAGATTTTTGTTGGGCTTTGTCTTAGCATGGTATTCTCATTTGCTTAATGGATGGCTTTTTTCAGTGTACTTTTAGTCAACACAAACCAGCTTTCTTTGTGAGTTGGGGAWTTGGAACAAATAGTAAAATTCCACCCTTTTGCTCTAGTGTAATAAAACAGGTGCTTACAGCTATTTATTAATGTTAAGCATTTGTCATAATGTGTGCTTTTTCAATAGAATATTAGAGGTACACTCACAGTTACTGAAGAGTTAAAGCTGTAGCAAACAAATTCCTTCTAAAAAAGGAATTTTGTATCCATCTTCTCATTTTAGCTGTCACTTTCTGCCACAAAATAACTGCATTCCATGATTTGAATAGAAGGTGAATGCTTGTATTCAAACCCGTTATGCTCCCATTGAAGCAAAGGGAACTGTTCTATCACCAATTTACATGCCAGGATTTTTTGGTTTTACGCTAAGCAAATGGGATATTTCATCCCAGACTCCTGCTATCTTTGGCAAGATGCATGGTCTGCTTTCCTCACTCCCCCTTTCTGGCTCTCTAAGCTCTTGGACTACTGAGAATGCAATTGCAATGCTCAGCCTCCAAGCCTGGCTTTTCCAATGAAAAGATGCTGTGCAGAGCTAACTTTGATTGCTTGAAATCCTATGAGTTTTGTGAAAACTTGTGTCTTGATGTTAATTTGCTTGACCTGAGGRAAAATAGTCTTTCAGTTGCTTGGATGGTGTGATGAAAAGTGATGGCTCACTTATTACTTAGAAAATGTGTCCTGGCCTGCCAGTTGGCACWTACATACCCTATACTGTGGCTTGTCCAAAACTAATTCTTGCCTAGCTGTTACATCAGTGGGATGGAGGGTAAAAGAGATGATGCAAAGTGTAAAACTTAAGGAAGCAGAGGGAGATGCAATACTTGCTGCCAGTAACCTTGGGTGGATTTCACAGTTATGAGGAAGCCTGATGGATGTGTTTTTCTGCTCACAGAACAGCTTGTAACAATTGGGGCTTATTGTTTTGTTGTTCTTTTGTGGAAAGGCTGAAAGTAAAAATTGCATTACTATTAATATATCCAAAGATTATATCTGCATGTCATTTCTTCAACCAGAAGACTGTTAACAATAAAAATGCTTTCTGAACTGAACTCCTATAAAAGTGGCCCGTTAGTCCTCTAGAGTGATGTCCTTCCCTTTCTAAATGAGAAATGTTTGTGGAATTGGGCTCCTGTCTGCCTGGATGACTGAAGATTTTTATTCTGGGAGGTTGCTTTCTGATCACCCACTAGAGGGCTTAACTTCATTGGGGAACTGTAACTAACCACTGTAAAGTTTGAAGGTTTTTGTAAAAATGTGTCCTCATACCCTGATTCTGCAGGGATGGTAATCAAGTGCTGCTCATGGAGCATCCACTCTGGCCAGAGACACACATCCACAGAGTAATAGTAAGTTTGATCTTYGAACCATTGGGAAGGTTCTTGAGCAGCTGTGGAGATAGTTCTCAGAAAAGAAGAAATGCCCTTGACTTCAACCAGCTCTTTCATTACTTTCACCAGTGCTAATCCTTAGGTCATCTGTGCACCAAAAAATGTTGCCTCACTTGAATTCTTCATTGAAAATACAGTGTTTTGTTGACAACAGTGGACCCAGTTCCAAACCAGGGCAAGCTTGTGCCCATGGCATGGAATGCAGTTATTTCCTTATCCATTGTTTATAATCCTGATAAATATTGTAACCTGTATATAAATTTAGGTCCTCTGAAACATTATGTTGGAAAAGTTAAAGAAAATGTATTTTGACTGCAATATGAAAATATATTAACATTCAAATGTTTAAATTTTGTTTTGGAAGGAAAATCTGTATCTTAAAAATGTAACATTGGCATTTTTAAAGTGTGGACAAGTAATCTCTATATTGTGCTTGTTTTCTTACAAAAGCAATTATTTGCTAATGCATCTTTTTCTGTTCAACTTCTTAAGATGTGCCAGTCTGGGAGTATTCTAATACTTGTGTAGATAAGGTGTGTTGTTGCCTTGATATAATTTGATTTGATTTTTCTAATCTCTTTTTTAATATAGTCCTCTGAATTACAGTTCAGTGTACTTGGCTGAATAATTTTTTCCTTAGCTGACATCCTTAACTCACTTGGGACTGTGCTATTTTCTACCTTGCCTTGGATAGATACAACTAAACTTTATGTAACCTGTTGCTTTAACTCTTACAAAGTTCCTTCGCAGCTAACAAGGCTTGGCCTATTTTTAAATATTAGAAGTTAAACAACTGCAAAATACTACATACACCAACTTTGCTATAGAAAATTTGTAAAAAATCCCACAAAACCAAACAGATCCCATAAAAAAGCTATTTTGGATAGTTTAATATGTTAAAAAAAAAACAATTTCTATTAAGGTTACATTAATTTATTTGTGAAATTGCATATGAAGCATGGTGAGAAATACAGTCTTGAGGAAGAGAGGAATCCCACATCAGATTTCTCAGAGGAGCTTGGAACAGTTTCTAAACCAGATTTAACTTTACACTAAGATAACAGAGAGACTGGTGATGGAATTGGGAAGATGTAATGCTTGGTTTCATCTCATCATGAGAGCAGCCTTGGGAGTAGGTTCATGAGATGGTGAAAGTATACTTGCTCTAAGTTCTCACATAAGAGTTAAAAGTCTGTGAGTGACTATATAAATGTGTCCATATGGCCTAGGAAATCACTTCTTACGCTTATGTTTGCAGTGTGGAGTGGTTTTAGACCACAGGCAGGAGAGGCAACTGAGCTGAGAGATGCAGTCCAGCTGCAGATAAGCAGCCAGTCCATGGGACCAGCCCATAGCTAGTCAGAAGCAAAAACAAAGCAAAACCGCCTCTTGAAATGCAATGATGGGAATGCCAGCTTCTCAAATCAAACAGGAATAAAAATAAGAAGTTCTTAAGAAATATCCCACAGAGTGTTGTGTTATGTATCAGTTTGCAATAAGTACCCTTGTGCCATCACTGATCCCAAACCTTCACCAGTACGATTGGCTACTGCATGGACCAGGGTTTTGTCCTTACCTGTGCTTGGAGAGGCTGAGTTTTCATTTGCCTTCCCTTGTCCATTTGGGGAGCAGGAAAGAGAAACAAACTAGAAGAAAGAATGGGAGAACATTTTACCTGAGTGAGGCCATTAACTTCTAAATTTTATTTGGGTCCAAACCTTATGTAGCATCCTAGAGCGTCTCACAAAGCACCTCCTAGGAAGAAAGGAGGGTTAGTCAAAAGATAGGCTTTGCAAAATAAAATGAACAGCAGCAATTTCAAGTAGCATTGTTTTAAAGTAGTGCTTTTTAATGATTCTGTTTACTTTATGGTGACGCAGGTAAGAATCTGTTATTTTAAAACATGATAGTTTTTAATTTTTAATTTTATATTTTAATGAAAATTAGAAATGCAACCCTTTGGCCTTGTTGACTTCTTTCTCCTTTTTCCTAATATGAAATTTTCATAACATTATTTTTTAAAACCAAAATATAATTATCATCTGAGAAACTTCCGTCTGTGCTATAAGCAAACTACCCAGAAACACATCCAGAATATTCTTAAAAATATAGATGTATGATTTAATAGAAGTTCGTATCTCTCCTTTTAGGACAGAGAAAAAACATTAATATGTTAATCGCTAAAACCACCTGGTTTTAATTTATACAGTGATATTATTTCAGGGTCTTGCAAAAATATTTTGCCATACTAAGGAGTAGAGAATAGCACTCATCTCAAGCCTCAAAGCACACAAGGGTGTGTGACGACTGAAGGATCTCTCAAACCACCATGACATGGCAACATTTCTGTCATTGTCTGCCAGGTTATAAAGGGCCTATTCAATTCAACAGGGGAGTAATACTCGCAGGTCTGGTGGAAGTGTAACTAATACAGACTGTGCTGAGGAGATACCATGCATTGCTAATGAGAGACATGCAGCCAGGAAGTTGTACATAACACTCGCAAAGTTCCTGCAGCTGTATGTAGCGACCAAGCTTGAAGTCTCCTTTTCCTTTTTTGCATTGCATTATTTTAAATAATGAGTCCAATTATCTAACTTGTAAAGGATTCAAACACTCTGCAGAAAAACATAGTTGTAAGATGCCATATAATCAAAGCCATTAGTTTGGATACTAATTTATATTGAAATGAACATTGTAGGAAAGCTGAGTTTAATGATACCGTGGAGTATATTCTTGCTTCATTCACTGCTGTCCTCTTTGCAAGGTAAGAATTTAATTCCATTTTTTAATTCCATTAGTAATACTAATCTCTACGAAGATTTTCCTAAATATTTTGATATTACAGCTCCTTATTTTTCTATCATTGTATTTTTTTACATTGCTGAAATTTGTAAATGAAAATTATCATTTACTATCATCTACAGAATATATCATCATTCTCTCTCACAGGTGTAGAAACTAAAATATAATTTGTAACTTATAACTATAATATAACTTAAGATTTGTTTTTTATGTCTGAATTTGTTACAAAACCATTATTCATAAACAAAATCTAACCTCCTTGGCATTTTTGCTCTTATGGTCAGATGAGTAAGCATTTAGTGATTTTCAGTGAAGTATGGTTTTGTTTGAACAGACTGCACCTGCAGTTTTCTTAAATATTTTTAGATTGCTGGAGTAAATAATTGCTCTTCTTGTTATAGAAATTATCTTACTATGTAATGCAACTGGATTTTATAGATAATTTCCTTGCAACAATTATAAAGATTTCTAACGTAATATAAGAAATTGTTTAGTGGTTTTGTTTGTTTTTGTTTGTTTATTTGTTTGCTTGTTTTAAGCATGGACTCATTTAAAATTATTTATAATTGAATCTTACAAGTAACAGTCACAAAATTATTATTACCCTGGAAGTTTGATTGTGGAAAGCTCTGATCACCTGTCCCATTTTACCTGTTTGCCTGTTCTGTTTTTTTGTTCTGAGCCTCTGAAGAACTATGAACTCTTTTCACTTCTTCATAGTAGCAAGTACCAGAACTACAGTCATGAAAACTCACAGGTGAAGAGTGTGTGAGAGAATAAATTTCTTAGGAAGGAAAGAATGTAGTGCTATGTTCCATTCCTTGGAAAAAGAAAGAGTTTGTGTAAGGGTGCCCTGGAAAACTCGGGATTATTAAACCCCAAAATTCAAGTATTGTTTTAAACTTGGCATTGCTTGCCAAGGGCAGAGTGAGGCTGTAGAAAAAAAAGTTTAACATCATGACTGTTTTAATCTACAGGATCTTATTGCAAGCTTTCTCTTTTGAGAAGAACTTTGAGGTGAGTTTTAATTCCTTATTTGTCAAGCCCTACAAACAAAACTAGAATGAGCAAGTGCAATGCAGTGCAAGTTAGAAAGTAAAATATAGCCTTGAATCTAACATGTAAAATGTCATCTACATGTAGGTTGGATGCAGAACACGCTTTCAGAATGTTTACAACTCTTTTCCAAGTATTTCCGTAATGGGCATGGGTCCTCTCTTTGAAAAATGGAGGTCGTTATGAAAAATGATACATCTATGGTCTCGAGAAAGCCTAGAGGAATAATGGAATGAAAACAGCATGAGATCATGATTTCATGACTGGAAAAATACATTAAATGAATATCCATCTGCAGTTTTAATTGCGTGATAAAATCCTAGCTGCTATTTGAAGCACAGAGAAGTTAAGTGTTATACAGCCTTAAAATAAACATTTTCAATACAAATTTTCACATAGAAGCTGAAATCCAAACAAAACCCAAACTAGGCAATGTTCCTGATCCCATTGAATTAAATGGATCTATGCCATCAATATCAATCGAAGCATCAAGTTGGACGTAGGTTTGTATGTCTAATGAATTCTAATATATCTAGGGGACGCACATGCAAGTCAAATTACACCATCATGAAGTGTTGACAGATCTAAGTGTATTTTATAGTTTGATGTCCTTGTTTCTAAACTTAATCACAAAGTCGGCTCCAGCTGGAGAGTCATCTCCTGCTATCAAAAGTACCATCAGAGTATATTCAAGCAACACTCTGGGGAACTTGTAGCCACTCACACAGAGCATGAAGTAAATATGAAGCTGCATTACAATTTGTATCCTGTTGTGTAAGTCTGTTTTGCCTATTTACATCTCCCCAAAGCTCTAGGTACCTCCCTGTCCAAGCAGAGACTGGAGTGCCGCTTAATTTGGTAAAATGAGAGGATGACAAAAAAAACCCCAAAACAAAAAAATCACCTTTTCAAATGTTAACCCAAGAAAGACCTCTTTGACAAAATGATGGTAATCAGAGAGAAACACTTCTCTCTGGGGACTTGCTTATTCAGGTTGCTCTAGGGACCTTTGATTATACAAGATCCTTTTTGTTTTCTTCCAGAAATGAGTTTAATGCAACTCGACAGAAAAGGGATCTTGTAACAGCCGAGGTAGGTTATACCTCCAAAAGAGGGAGGGAGGGGAAGCTCTCCTCCCTTTTTTGCTCTGGGCTTTTGCCATCCTTACAAATGAGTCTTTGTGGAGAGAAGGGCTGAGAAAAAAAGAGGACAGTGAGGAGGAGTAGCTACTCCCCCATCTGTTCACCCCGCCCGAGCCACAGCCTCATGCCTTCATTCTCCTTCAGCACAGTACCCAGTGACAGACCACCCTGCCAAGCCAACTGACACACTCCATGGGAAACAAATTGGGACGTCTCTGTCTTTGTGAGGGTGAACAGAATGTCCTGGAAAGCTGTTTGTGTTTGTGAGAGGCACAATGGCGGCGCCACTGGCATGGCTCCCTCCTGGACGCGGTGCCCTTGTAGCTCTAGCCTGGCCCTGGTTCCCATCACCATGGCCTCACGCCGCCTTAGCGCTGCATCCCAGCAATGTTGAGCTGAAGTTAAATGATAAATGGAGGAATCTCGTTCCCCCACACGTACACACTCGGGCTCTGGAGCCCAGCCAAGGGTTATAACCCCATTTGAAGTGGGTAGGCAAGAAGCCAAAGCTGGTCCCGCCTCAGGGTGTTTCGGGGAGCCTGCAGCTGAGCCAGGGGTGAGTTTCTCCAAAACCCTTTGAGATCTGTGTGCCCTGACCGAGTCAGAGGGGAGCTGGTGTGAAACACTGTGCTAAGGGTAATCAAGCCTCTGAGAGAGGCAGGACTGGCGATATCCTTGGCGGGCCCTCAGCAGGGAAGTGCTGTCACACCAAGGACGCTCTGCCTCTGCAAAATGATGTAAAGGCCAAAAGCTGCTTCCCTGAGGCAGGCAGCTTGGACTAGTAACTCCAAGTATCAGGAAAAACGGAAATGTGTCTTGTGCAGAGAGGGAAGGGATCCTTTCCAGCCAGCAATGGACCGTGGGCACCAGGAATAATTTTGGTGTGGGGGCCTTCCAGGTGGTGATTGGATGAAATCTATTTCAGGTTGATTTTAGACAGATTGTACTACTTGGATGCATCCCACAACGTATTCCATTTGGAAAAGGGAAGGTTTTGTGTCACTGCAAGAGGCATTAGCAAGACTAACCCTGACGTCTTCCTTGCACAGTGTCATTCACTTTGAGATCCATCAGTTCAAACTCCACAAGTGGAGAAGGAATAGAGTCAGAAGGGAAGAAAGAAATTAGCTTACAAGCAAGGACTAAAACAAATTCTTCACTTAGTTGTGCAGCCGAAGGCTGGCACTTAAGTCTGTGGGGACTGCAGAACTTTTTTCATAGAATATCAGATAAGAAATAAGTGAAAAACAGAGAGATGAAGAGCTATTTAAGCAAAAAGGACCAGGTTTATAAAGGAAGGGATTTAAACTGGTCATGAATAAATGTAAGTGGGAAATATTTAAGTACTCAGCACTTCATCCTGGTAAACTTTCCAGTCAGACTAGTGGGGGCAAAAGCCCCAAAGTCTGGAATGGGATCAGTTCTTGAAAGGGACAATGCAACATGACAAGCTGTAGTAGCAGAGTGCTGGGGCAGATACAGGGCTTCCTCAGAGTGTGAGGCTCCCTGCTCCTGACCAGGAAGCAGTTCAGGCTGATTAGCTTTCTCTTTTTTTGACGTGAACCAAAATGCAATTCTGAAGGATGTCAAGGAGGACACAAAATCTCTTGCGGCTAGATTGGCCATAGTGGGATGTTTTGGGTGCAGCATGGGGCGTGAGTCAGGGGAGTGGATGCAAAAGAGGGAGCTCTCCAACTATGGGTATTTGACTGAAGTGAAAAAGGCAGACCACTCTCTGTCCCCTCCCTTTTCCTTCCAAATGTAAATGCAAAACTTGCCCATGTGGAGCCTTGGTGATTCACTGGGCATGGATGAAAGGCCTGTGGCGATCTCACGGAGCAGCTGTATCTTTCCTTAGTCACCTAAGACTCATGCTTCTCCTCCYCAGGCTGCCAATCCCTCCAGCAGCACCCATGACCGTGCCGTGTGCTGGGTGAGATGCAAATTACTCTTCTAGATTAGAAGTCCCAACCCAGTGTTTGAGTGCAAGGCCTCAGTTTTTTATCAATTCATTTGTAAACCACAAACACCCTGATTTTGCTTTTATGTTTCTCTGACAGGTTCAAGCTGCCTCTCGTTTGCACCATCATGGGGCCCTGGTGCGCAATCCACCAGGAGGTCAGTGCTGTGCTCCTCACCCACACGAGGAGAGCCCTGAAAATGCTGCCTTCCTCCTCTGTGTTACCATGGGCTGGAAGCGCTCTTCCTAATGCCCCTACTAAACCCTGTCCTGTCTCATTTACTCATTTTATGCATGTTAAGAAAGGAAAAATTTCTTTTAAAATTGTGCTTTCAAAATAAGGCCTTACAACCAAATCTGAGCAGCTAATGAAGCCAATTTTTCAGAAAAGTTTTTTTTTAAAGTTTAGTTCTATTGCAATTTTTCATTTCTGCCACTTTTTTCCCTGGCCTTTTCAGAGAATGTAAGTATGTCAGAGAGGCTTATAACTGTTTGTGCAAGGGGAAAGGAGCACTCAGGCAATGATGATGAAGCTGCTCCTGAAGGATTTTAAGCATTGGACAAACATGTAAAGCAGGCCCAGGTTACAGAAATCGTTTTACAGAAAAGTTCACTGTATGCAGCTTTGGTTGGAATTTTGGTATCCTTCTTGGAAAATGCCTGCGTAGGTTCATCTTTCGATGTAAATGAATAAATGAAATTTTGCAACTCAAAATTCTAAAAACAACCAAGAAGATTTCCCCATTCGTGCAGTTACAGAAACAATAATTTTTGCTTTGTTGGTGTTTTCAGCATATCTATGTATATTTGGAAAGCAGTTCTGAAAATGGAAAATAAATGGAAAATATTCAAATCATGGAAAGGAATTTTCACAATGATGGATGATGTTCCTAGTCACTAGTAGCTTCTGTGTACCTTTACTGTAAAGGTCCCTTTTTGTTCCCATTCAGGGTCACTGACAGCTTTACAGTGGATTCATTGGGAGTTTATTTCCTTTACTTTCTGCCTTTTGCAATGCTTTTTTAATCTCCAACAGCAATGTTGGAAACTTTTGTATATAAGGCAAGCAACTGTCTGAAAAAACCTGATGGAGTTTTGCTGGCTTTCTACTCCACTTTTGGGGAATTATGATTTAGACCACTTAGTGAATGATTAGTAAATGACAAGAAGGTCTTAGCTTTCAAACAGACTATAAAACCATTTAATGTAATTGCTTTTGGACAATATTACTAATTATAACAAGCCATTCCCATGGAATCTAAAGTCTCTGACTCCAGTCACCTCTGAAGCAGAAATAAACTTTTAGCGGACTTTTTTTTAGCATGTAGGGAAGGTTGTTTAGGACTGGTTTTGACTCTAAAATATATATTCTGGCCTGTTCATAAACTGAATGTACCCTTTCCAGTAATGTTTAGGAGGGAGAAGCTGAATATATGTATAAATGATGCTGAATTTAGTCAATTAGAATGATCTGTGTCCTGTATATTTTGAGATCAGCAGGGTGGGATTTGATTTCTTTACATGGGAACTTGACCTTTTGTGTGCTTGGAGGAGTTTGACCTTTTGCTCCTTTGTTAGTTTATAAGTCTCAAACCCAACAAGAACCTTACTTCTCATTTAACCAAGGAAAACAGAGGATAAAATTAAGCAAATGTTTAAAAACTGAGATTCTTGTTGGTTAATTTTCTCACAAATATAGCTGCTCCTGATTTAACAATAAACAGATTTAATTGGGATCTCTCGGACTGCAAAATACTGTATCTAGTAAAGGGCTGCTGTGCTTGCTTACAGGTTCATGTCCTCAGGAATGCCTTAATGGAGCAGCCTGCACAGAGACAGGTGACTGTGACTGCCAGTTATTTCAGGCTCAAGGAAGCAGGTGCCAAATTGGTAAGTTTTGGGCCAAAAATTTAGTGTCAGCTTTCAGGGAGATTTAGGGTACAGGTTTTTAAAAAAATACTGTTACCAGCATATTTGTGATTTCTCTGTAGAAGAAAGACCCAATGGCCAGTAGCTAGAAGGATTAAAACTATATGCATTTGGGACATACAGAAAGCAAAAGCAGAAATGCCTACATTTTAGCCCTTGGGTTGTAATGATACATAGACGCCATAGCAGATGGACCACTGTCTAGTATATCAGTAGCCAGACAAGTTTTTTTAAAATTAGCTGAGCAACCAAAAAGTCACTGCATTTTTTTCTAATGAACAATGCCTTAGTGCAAAGTAAATTACCCACTATTTAAATATACTAGCTTCTGTAATCTGCTTTGTGTAGATATCAACAAGATTTTTCTTCCAGGATGTGCAGAATATTTAAATCCCTTGCCTCTACTTGCAATTAAGATGTCTCCACTGAAGAAAAAAAAAAAAAAACATAATGATGATTGCACTAAAACTGCAGAGTTAAGATTTAAAAAAGCGTACTGACTTTATTGAAAGCTGAAGACATAAGTTCATCTTTTTTACTTGCTATGTATTTCCTTTATAAGCTCTTGTTTCCATTCTGAGTTCCTGCTTTTGTAGATGCATGTGACACCTGTCAATTCATGATGACCATGCTTCTTGTAAACTCAGTGTGTTTTCTCCAGTACCTAACACTGGTAAGGATCGAGATGGGATTTGCAAATCGTGGGGACAGTATAATTTTGAAACATTTGATGGCATTTACTACTACTTCCCAGGAAATTGCTCCTATATATTTGCAAAAGACTGCAGTACTCTGGAACCCCAGTACACTGTTTGGGTAAGTACAAGAATATACACTAGAAACAAGTGTGTAGGTAAATATAAAAGTAAGTAAGTAAAATAAGTGGAGAGACAATAAAGGTATCAAACTGGGCATTAATTACTTAAATATAACACTGTGTTTCTGGAAATGCCTAAACCTATGTGCAGTAACTCAAAACACTGATGAAATTAGAATCAACAGAGTCAGCATATCCTTAATGMGATTTCTGCTCCCTTCTTTCTGGGAGTAAAAGTGGGTCTTAAAGCAGAACTCAGAAACTTCACTAAACTTCAGCTATTATCAGATTGTAAAAGAATGCTAAGTTGCTGAGTAAAGTGCAAACAGCTATCACTTGCCTAATAGCAAGGAAGACGAATGTTCTAGGCCCTGATTCACAGCTATTGGCATGCTATGAGGATCTGCCTCCCTGGCCAATGGGATTTGCTCCCCCACCCTGTCCCTTCTAGGGATTTGCATTCTAATTTTGGATTAGCTCTACGTCATGCAAAGATTAATAGCTCAAAAGCTTTCATCTTGACCTATGTATGGAAGGAACTATTTTTAGTAATTTCTTCAAATTGCTGAGTATCCATGGTTAACGACTTTGGGTCAGGGACAATTAAAATCTATACTCTCTTTGAAGGGTGATGCCCTATTTGTCAGGCTGTTGGTTACTGTGGGGAGAGCATACAAGCTCATTATATTACCTTATTCACAATGATTGTGATTTCGTGCTGATTGAGCAGTGAAGAAGAGGCAAGACGGGTCCTAATTCTGAGCCCATGTGGGTACAGTGGTTGCAGGGATAAGGGCAGATCTAGATGCTGGTTTCTGCTCTGATGCCTATTTTAAATTTATAAACAGATGACCTCTTCTCACCTCATATAACTGCACTTATTGAAGATAAATCTACTACTGAAACTGCCATTTCTACCTTCTCAAGTTACAGAAAGACATGCTGTTACACCTGCCTTCCACAATTTCATTTTAATTCTTTGGATTCTATTTGCATATATTCTATATAWGTAAGTTCTTAGGGCTTTTCAGAAAATGCTGTAGCAAAGTCCAAGATTATGTTAAAATCTAAAATCAATAGGTCAGTGGATTCCTGTGGCTCTGGAAAGAGAAGGTTCTATTCAATTACTGGAACAAATGCCATGTTTTACTAAAAACTGAAAATGTTTACTCAGCAAAGTTGTAAGTAATGTGAAACTGTAGACAAACTGGGTAATGGAGAGTCAAAAACCTTGCCAAATCCTCACATTAGGGTCCATCTGGCTTTAATAATCCACCCTTCAAGAGGAGAAGAAAACATAAGAATTATTTTGATTTTCCTTTATTGTGTTTCTGTCTTGGGTCAGGTTTACATAGAAGCCATCTGCCAGTACTAATAACTTGTATGTTGTCTTTAATTATCATTATCTTTATACATGTAAAAATTCTTAATGCTTTTCCTGGTCTTGTTTATTTCACCCAAAGAAACAATAACTGGTTTTTATTTCCAGGATTTAGTGTTGGTCAAGGAAGATTAATTCAAGTATTCATTAGCACTGTATGTGTTTACTCACAAGTATTTTCTTCCAAACTACTGTATTTATAGCCTCCATCACTATGTTGGTAAAGTGTTTCCAATTACAAGTTTATTTAACTTCACAGCACTGTCAAGTAAACTGGTAATGAAGTGCCCATCCTCAGAGAATGATGGCACATGCGTAACATGAGTCATATTTGAACTAYCTAAGCTCTATGTTTTAATCTGGGTAATGATAGGCATCTAAGATTAAACACATGTTCCCCTCTCTCTTCAGTGGTGTCTAAAATAAGCTCACAGGCTTTTGGAGCACTACAGGGTATCCTACAGGTTTGGGTGGCTCACCCCCACTGAGATTAATGAAAACTCTGTAAGTTTTTCTCAAGCACAAACACACAGTTTTCAAGTCCAGAGAGTATTGTATTCAAGTGGGATAAATTGTTATGTGACTAAATCACTCTCCTGGCTAATTATGCTATAATGGGRAGAAGCACACTTCAGGAAAGTCTACCCTTCTCCATTAGCAGGGCTGGAAAGCCAGTGTATTTTAAGAGATCCATATAAAGTATGTGATGCCTGCTGTAATCTGTGGGAACACTTCAAAATCTCAAGAAATCCTGAATGGTTCAGGAAGGCATGTTTTAGTTCAGCTGGTACCAGTCTCAGCTGGCAGGGAGAGTGCTGCCATTGCACTATTCTGCACTGGTTTGTAATCCTGTTCTATAGATCAGACCTCTAGAAACAGAGCAATTGGGGTGCTTCCTCAGTCTTACTTTGGCAAGTTGAAAGATAGCTCACTGGAGTGTCTCTTAAGTTTGTCAGCATAAATACCTGACTCTTTCATCCAGTACTGAGACCACTGGCATGTGGTGCTATGCACTATTAAGCTATTAAACTATTAAATTAAGTTGATGTACTTCTCAGTAGTATTGTGTAGTGTGAACTTTGAGATTTGTATATCTTTGTATCTGTGACTTGACAATATTCTAGGCATTTAATTGTAAAGCTCTTTCAGTAACCAAAGCATAAAAATTTAAAATATCCTATATAAATTTAATAAAAATGGCATGAAATTATTGAGGACAAGTATTTATTCTTATTGTGTGTCTATTTTTTTCCTTCAAAGGTTCATAACAGTCCTCAATGTTACAGTTCAGTATATACTTGTCATAGATCCATCAGCTTATTTTTTTCAAATCGAGAAGAAATAATGATTTCAGGACATGAAGTAAGAAAAAATGGAATCAGGTAAGTGTTCTAATGGTGGSTTTTAATATTTTATTGCAAAAAGAGAATGTCGAGATTGGGAAATTAATGCTTCTTACACAATCCAGGTTAATTATTGATCCTTTGCTGTTCTGTACTAGGGCTGATAGAGCTCTGGTGTGAGCAGATGTAACAGTACTGATGTAATACCTGAGTGAGGATAGGATACACTCCCTACATTAACTGTGTTCAACTTCTCAGTTGTAACCTAATAATGAATAATTACAATTGCTTTGTACAGGCAAAGTCTGTGTCAGGCAGTCCTAACTAATCCCTGGTGCATCCTGATACCATTTTGAACAAGGCAATCATTATTTATTCTTGGTAGCAATAGCTAATATAAGACATGATCGTCTTCTAGATGAGTCTGAATTGGTTAAAATAAAGATCTCAAGCCCCTTTGGGGCAAAAACTCTACAAAACATCTCTGAGATGCATCAAACCTCCAAATTTACCTTTTCTTTTAATAAATAAGAAGATGAGCCCAAAGGCTGTCATAAGTATATTTTACTGGTTGATAAAGTACAGAAAATGTAAAAGAGCTGTTAAGGTGCTTTTGCCATCTGCTTTGTAATGCTATGGCCATTAGTATCTGAGAATGGTAGCTACAGTGATACCGTTCAACCCAAGAGAAGCAACTTTGCAAGACTAGGGTTAGCTCCGAGTTTATTGTCCAGTGGTCTTTCACCGAAGGAAGAAGAGTTACAACTTTTTAGTCAATGGTGTTTTCTGTATTACAAGTTCCTGCATTTGCAGACGTCTAATTCAGGGATGACCCAGTGCCCAGAAAGGGCTCCTTGCCCACATGGCTCATTGCCCAGCAGCAGACTCATAAACTCATGAATTCCTCAACATGATTGTGCTTTGAAAGTAAAGGTGCATTATTCTTGCAAGCTTGAAATTGGTGCAACTGATAGGTGTATACAAGAGAAAGCACTCATTTCTGATGGTCATATAGTAAACAGAAGATAGTGAAAACAAGATGAAGCAGTGAATAGAGTGACTATGCACACCAGGGAAAAAGGATTTAGTGAGTTAGAAGGTGATTTTCATGTGGCATTTTTTTAGCCTGAACTTCATATTATCTGAGATCTTTGATGTAGACTGTATTTTTCCAGATTAACATTGCCTCAGACAGTTGGAAATGCTTTCATTGAGAGGCTGGCTGACTACATTTTGGTGAAGACTACCTTTGGTTTTTCTCTTGCTTGGGATGGAAACTCTGGTATTTATATTAAGCTGACAGAAGATCATAAGGGAAAACCTTGTGGCCTTTGTGGAAATTTTAATGGCAATAAATATGATGACCTGATACTTCAAAATAGTAAGTAAATAGCTTATTCTTACTTTGTGTGAATAGTTTCCATGTTCACTTTAAATACAATGCTGTATAACTATAATGTTGTAAAAAGGCAGAGTCCTGTTTCACTTATTTCAGTAAAATAGTACTTCTGCTCTACTTTTACTTCTCTTCATCATTAATGATGCAAAGGGAAAAGGTCCTAGTTCAAGAGAGTATTTATATGTTTATTCAAGCTTCTTCTTGCTCAGCAAAGCACTTGGGGTATGTTTATCTTAGCTGATGAAAGTGCCTTTAAATAATAAATAAATAAATAATAATAAAAATTATTCTTTTCTCTGTGTTTAAAGATGGAGGGAAGAGCACCATCTCAAGTCATTCTTTTATAGCAGCATCATAAAAATTCTAGTTGAAATATGTCAATTTCCAAGCTGTTTCCAGGGAGTTCCTTGTATCTCCTTGTTGGTATTGTGGACTATGGGCCTCTGACTACACTGTAGGATGAGGAGCTGCTTTGTGCTGTGTCTGAGGCAGAGATGAGTTTTTAAAACTTGAATCCTGTAGCTTAGGTAGAGAATACCCCATGAGAACTTATGTCCTTCTTGCAGCTAATGTGAAAGAAAAAGAGAAAGAACAAGAACGAGCTTGAAAATATGAGGAGCTTTCTCAGTATCTTATAAAAACAAAATAAGACTATTTTACTGTTACCATTAACTGGCGAGATGATCTAGTCCCATGGCTCTGCATGTTCTTAGTCACAAAAGGTATCCCACTGTAACTTTTTTCCCCATTTTTTATGATTGGAAGTGGAGATTTCAAGCTTCCTTAGTGAAAGAATGCTTGCTGTATGTATCTTTGCAGAGTTTTAAGAAATCTGCCCAAGTAGAAATTTTTCATACCTTTTCTGCCATGAGAGCAGTGAGTTTTGTCCATTAACTTCTACACACCAGAGTATAGTATGTTTAATAACCAGTTTAATATGCTGATGTGTAATAATAGAGAAAATAATATTTGGAAGAAATAAGCAATTAATGTGATCTCTAAAAACCAGCAGTTTCACTATCTTTAAATGTATTGCCTGTTATAAAATATTTCCAGCTCTTACCTGTCTTCATTTTCAGAACTCAATTTATTCACCATGATAATTTCTTCTACAATTTTTCTTGATCTGATATGATAGCATTATTGCATCGTACAACTGAGAGCCATAGGAATCACTTTAAACCAGTTGTATAACATGGTGTCTTGACTCTGCAAATACGAAGTTCCGAGATTTTCACAAGAATAGATTGCTAATTCAGATCCCTTCCAAGCTGAAACATTTTTCTAAGAGTTTCAAAATCTTGCCAATAATTTGATGTAATGATTTATCTCTCCCAGCTAAACTACTTCCCTGAGTAGTGTAAAGGTAGCTCTTACATCTATCCTGAGTCTTTCTGAGTCTAAATGCTCATTATTTTTAATGCTCAAATAAATACGTTGCTCAGATGCATATAATATTCCTTTTCAAAGTACAGTTCAAAACCAAACTCTTTTTCTGTTTTCTTATCTTCACCTTTAATGCCATCTTCGTATTGCTTTAATATGTGAGACTGTATCCGTGTGTAGAACTGTTTCAAGGACAGTGCTTTTATTTTGTGGTATTTTTTAAAGACTTAGAAGTTATTTTTTCAAGCCATGTCAAAATTTACATAGTATGTTTTTGTAGAAGTAGACTTATATCAACAGGTYCACGTCTAGATCAAACCCTAGCCTTTTATGTTTGGGAAGGGTTTTCTGCATAAAGAACTACTTTATCAGAGAAAAAGAAATATTTTAAGTCTCCCTGACTTCTAAGTAAAATAGACAGGTTTTTTTCACTAACAGATGGCTAGGATCTTATCTTCATTTATTTGTTGAGGTCTAAGTACACATATCTGATTAGTGCTTTGTGGCTTTCCATGTTGCAGTATCCACCTTTGTGCCTCTTGTGCTAGAAGGTAGATTAAGTTTTCTATAGTGCAGCTCTGTGAAAAAAAAAGAAAAAACAAACCTCTAGCTGATTTAATTTCAATATCTTGTCTCCAAGCTAGGCATAGATATAGATAACCATAGCAGAGATACCAATTTCTGTTAGGTTCTTCAAAATGGAGGCAATATACCCTTTTAAACCTAATTAAGAATGTACAGAATACACAGTATTTAGTTCTTGCTGCAAATGTATGGGAATTTTGGCTCTGTTTCTTTATTGTCAACCTTCATGTATGTTCATGTATCTAGGCCTGTTGCCATGACTTCCAGTCATGTCCATTAATTCTCCAATGCTCATGCTGTGAGGAGAGCTGGGCATCTCTTAAGTGTGTGTTGTAGGGCTTTCTTTCAATAAGGGAAAAAGGAGGGAGATAATACCACTAACTGACCTTTGTGAAACAGTATGAAAGACTTAAATTGCTTCAAAGAAATGGTATTTTTTCTGAAGTATTCAATGCCTTACACTTGGCATTATTTGTGCATTTGTTATAAAATTATCAGTGATTACACTTAAAAAAACCCAAGCCAGCACCTTGTCATGTATTTTTTCAATTTTTTATTTAAATGAAGTATAAAATATAAGCTGAGATTTAAAAAAAAACTTTTCTTTACAACTCTGAAAACATCTATAATTGAGCTAATTTACACACTGAAAAATAATTTAAAATTTCAAAGCTGTCTTATGTATTTGTGTTGACAATTTTTTGATTGTTGCTCTTCCATTATTTTCATGCAGTAGATGAATATACAGAAGATATTGCTGAATTTGCAAATAGCTGGGCTGTGCAAGCTTCAGATGATATAGCTTGTGTCCCTACTGCCTCAGATTTTTCCAGTCCTTGCTCAGCCAATGCAGAATCCACTGAGGTAAATGAATCATATTTTATATATATACATAGATACATACATATGTATACATGTATTTTCTTCATCTCATTGCCTACTGATGGAACAAGAATCTAACAATATGCACAATGTTGAATAAGCCTTAAATGCATTGAGGCTTTGAGAAAGGAAGTATTCAGATCAGAGCTGTTGCTAGGGAGTGCCTGAAGTTCTTCATATGTTTAGCTTAACAGTACAAAGGCTTAGATTGGATGTGCCAAGCAGCACCAGTCTGCTGGCAGAGCTCTTCAGTACTGCATTAAACTTGGGTTCAGTTTCCAGTCCTGGCATCTTACACCTCATTATTTTAGCAGTTGTGAAATACTGCAGAAATAGCTGCAGGTCAGCTCCTAAATTGACACAAAATGGGTTTTTTTTTAGTTGTTTCACACTCTTTCATCTCAGCTGGTTTAAGACGAGCATGCAGTCAAGCAGGCCTAGGCAGAAAGGACAAATTTTCAAAAAAAAATAATAAAAGAGATGTAATAGTAAATTGAGACTGCACCATTCTCAAATTTTAATGGGGATATAAAGGACTAGGGAGACAAAACTAAAGAGAATGATGCCTATTCAGAAAGTATTGGCTAACTTCCATTTACTGATTCTCCTTTAATGCACAGGACATATTCTTCAAGTGCCAAATATTCCTACAGTTTCCTTTTCTCAGCTGTCATGAAAGTATAGATCCGTATTCTTATATTTCAAGCTGTATGAATGATCTTTGCAGGTAAGTATTGGAGTTCTTGTCAACTTAATCTTGACGCATGAAATGAATGCCCACTCTTTTGTGTGAGACTGGAATGAAAAAACATTGAAGAAAGTTAGGAAGAACCAATTTCCAAATAAAAGAGACTGGGTTTCGCCGGGGGTCATTTTTGTGTGGGAACAAAGGGCACAGAATCTGGCCAACAGGATATTTTGATGTCTAAGGGCTTACATAAATTCAAGGAAACACTAGACAAGTAAAAGGAAGATAAATTAATGGAGAATCATTCATGACAAAGAATGAACTGCTAATCACAAAAACCCCATAAAACTTGTATCTTGAGGCCCTGAAAGAGAAATACGTGGAGATGATACTAGGAGAAATATCAACAATACTGGAGGAGCTGGACCATCTGTTAGAGGCCATTGGACTGGTTTTTATGAGTAACCACTATTATTCAAATTAGTACAATTTTTACAGAATGGTTCTATATTTAAATTCAGAGTTGTCAAAGGAAATTTAAGTCTCTTTTGCTTTGGTGGGAGTCATACCCTCTCAGCTGCTGGTATTGTAGGCAACCTGGTATTTTTCCCTCAGCTCTCCAGACTCTTGATTAGTTCTTGACATTCAAGTTTAATTTGTATTCCTATAGTTGAACAGATAATTGAACAACGTACCACTTTCTTTTTATTAAGATTTTCAAATTAAGAATTGTCACAAATAGGATTTTTACCAGAGTATATAGTTCTTGGATTATCACCAATTTAGTCAAAAACATACAAAAAGGATTACAAGATTGAACATAAGGATCACTCAGCATTATCCATTACAACCTAGTAGTTCAATTTTTGATGAATGTTTAGTGTTCTGGTTTATCATAGAGTCAAGATGGAAGAATTTGTGTTTGTAGGCAAACACTGATGTCTCTTAGACAAGAGTTGCCTTTGTATGGTCTCTGTGTAACTCAGGAGTTTACTGGGGCTTTACCAAATTTTTCAAATAAGATATTGAATCAGTACTGTGAAGTTAAGGAGGATTGGATTTTTTGTCAGCAGTCTGATGTGTGTTGATGTCAATTTTGTGAATGTTAAAAACCTTGAAGTTTCAGTGTCTCAGAACCTCGTTAACTTAGGCTTATTTTGTTTATAAAAGAGACCTCTCTTCTTGTGGCTTAGTGTCAGTTTATGAAGGTTTTTTTGTGTGGCCATAGTAAAGGCCAAGTATTCTCTCTAAGACCCATTTAATTGGATTAGATAAGGCGAGATGGAGAGACTCGGATCACTGTAACAAAAAGTGTAGTGGTGTTTGATTTGGTAACAGATGTGTTGAAAGCGGATTACAAACACAATATAACATATTCTTAAAACAATTAATTTTGGAAACATGATCTTGAGTGCTGAGAGGCAAACTCAGTTGATCAGTCATAAATATGCTTATAATAGAAATGTAGTGTTATGACTAGTTTATTTTGGCATAAAGTCTTCCACAGTGAATGATGGGAGTTGTTTGACTTTCACAGTAAGAAAAGTTCGATGGTATTTTGCCATATGTGACTTTTATCTGAATAAAATTTGAACTTGCCTAAACATTAATGGATGTCTTTTAACTTGATTCTGGTAAAAATGCACTGTACAGCTTCTTCTGTATAGACAAAGGCAGATATCTTGTCTTTGCCCAAGGTTGTGCTGTGAATCCCTGAGCATGTCCACAGTTTTCAGTGGATAATGTTTCTGGAGCTGAGAACTTCAGCACAAGGTCAGGAGTCTACTGACAAGGTTCTTCTCATCTGAGTTCAAGGCAATTGGAGACTTGAAGTTCTTACTTGAACCAGAAGGTCTTTTATCAGTGTAGGTCAGAGATTCTACATCATGCAGGAGGGAGAGGCCTGACACGGGGATCTTGAGACTGTTGAAACAAAAGAAAAGATTAGTGGTTCTGTTCATCATGGTAATATTAAAATGAAATTACTTTTTGTGAGATCAGATGATAAAACCACAATGGTATATACAACATAGCTCATTTGTTTGTATATTTTCCCTGTGTGCCTTTGTGACTGAGTGGTGTACGTATGAAATATCCTATGCTCTGTCATCTGGCAGAAATTGGTAGATGGGATTTGAGTTCCTTGATTACTCTTATTTTATCATTTCAGAATGGATGATGATGAAACGTACTGCAGGGCAGTGACAGAGTACGCTAGAGCATGCTCTCACGCTGGGTCCCCGGTGCGGGACTGGAGGGATGACTTTCCTGCCTGTAGTAAGACTCTTTAATAAAGCATACTACATGACCTTTGAGATAACCCATGCATTCAGTTCAAATAATTCCATCTTGACAACATTTGTCGCTGTAGAACTCAAACCTGATACTCAAGTTGATTATCCAGTTTCACTCTTGATGGCAAACAATGAAGTCAATGCCTTGCTAGAGAAATATTTTAATTCCATTGTGATATGATTTAGATCCATACAAAATCCAAGTTTCAGTGGATTGCTTGAAACATCCTGTGTGCTGATCATGTTCTAGGACAAAGAACAAACCTTTGTGGAGATCTGTTGCTGCTCCTTGTCCCAGAAGACCTTTCAGCCTCTACTGGCCCTATAATTAATGCAGTTAATCCAGCTGCCTCTTGTTATTACTACCACCCATAAATTGCTGCTCAGTCTCATGCTCAAGGCTTTGAACTAGCTGAGATATAAGTACATTTCCCTGTCACAGAAGCTATAACTTATTTTGGAGAGATGATACAAGGAGTTGCTAAAGAAAGATTTAAATATTGATGAGATCTTCACTGTAGTTCATCAGTTAAAACTCCTCCAAAACATCCATTGCATCAGATCTGATTATCTATACCAGAAGAGCTGCACAATGTTTATTTGACAGAAATGGGTTTTCTAACCTGGAAAGAGAAATTGCACGGATGTTCAATATGCCATGGTTTTGGTTTTTTTTTAGCTGAGAAGTGTGAAGACAGCTTTGTTCACCGTGACTGTATCAGTTGTTGTCCACCAACCTGCACATTTGAAAAAGATTGTCTTGGTAGCAACCTGCACTGTTTAGATGGCTGTTACTGTCCAGATGGTAAATACTGTCAATGTTATTTGAAAAATACATGTAAAGCTACTATCCAACATCATAATGAAGTCTAAATAGACTGTGCTTAAAGCCTGAAAATTATGTATATAGTAAATTCTTCCCTAGCTGTTCTTATTGTCTCTGTGATTCTGCCCTTTACTCTGTGCTAAGCATTTAACTAGAATACAAAGTTGTCTCAATGCAAAATCAGTTAAAATCTGGAGCCATTACTAATGCTTCCTACAATAAGATATTGCATTGATTTAGTCTACTTTATTTGAATTATTCAAAAAATCWATAGAAATTTTGCTTAAACAGAATATGTCATGCTGTATACAAGAAACCAAAGTTTCTGGGACCTGTGCTGAAAAAAAAATTGACTGGGCTATGAACAGTCCTAGTTCTAAATGGACTAAAGTTAATGATATTTCAGTATCTTCATTTTTTAATCTGTACAGTTTTACATGCTTAAGGAAGACATTTTTTCAAAAAGCAATGATTCAGAGTGACAAGTTCTATTTAGGGAGCTTCACTTTGAGCTCTCTGCACTCACTGGACAACTTTTTCTGCTGGTTCTTGTTTAAGACTGATGACATCACCTTCTGGCAGATTGGAATGTTTGAGTCAGATGGGAGAAGAGCAGTGATCCAGAGTTTATTAATTTGTTTAATAACTCATTTATTGACTTCTTTCCAATAGGTCTCATTATGGAAAATGGAACTTGTATCTCTTTGTCGAATTGTCCTTGTATTTATCATGGAACTGCTTTCCCTGTAGGATCAAAAATTGAACAAGAATGTAGCAACTGGTATGTGAAAGCCTGTTTGTTTCATCTCTCTGTGACTACTGTTCATAGTTAGTTTAACATCATAGTTCCACTTTAAGTAATAGTTACTATGTTTTACAGTCTGAGGCCTGTGTATCACTAAAATATACAGGCTATTCTGTGTGAATTCAAGGCGTATTAGTTAACTCAAAGCTACTTACTTTGCTAAAGATCAGAACTCTATTTCTGTGTTTGYGATTTTTCTTTTCAGTATTTGTGTTGGTGGCATTTGGAATTGCACTGATCATGATTGTCCAGGTATTTGTATTTCATTATTCTTTTCTCACTTCATAACAAAATTGATGAACTTTTCAGAAAAAGCTGAACCAAACAGGATCTAAGGCTTTTGGCTGCTAATTTAGGAAGAAAGATTAAGCAAGTGAATATTGACAGTAGCTGTGGGCCAGCTGGAATGAAGCTGTTAATTGCCTGGCTATACTCATCCTGCTTTTTCCTACTCACTTCCCTTCCTCAGTGTGCTACATCCACCTCTTGTTTTCTATTTCTTGTTTATGCTCAGTGTTATCTGCCACAGATGGTGTATTTTTACTGCCTCTGCAGTACTTAGGCCAGGTATAAAGATCTCTTCACTTCTAGGTGCAACTTTAATGTAAGTGATAAGAAAACCATCATTTTGATGGTAAGTGTGCTAGATTTTCTGTCTTGTAATAACAGTTCATGTTTGAATAATGCTCCTTATCTTTAAAGATAGCATGTCTCTGTGATGATTTACACAGAGGAACATACAGCAGTCAGGTAGTGAAACTCCCTTGACAGTTCTGTGCCTTAGACAAGTTTATATTACCAAGTCTGTGAAAGAGATTTTTTTTTTACAAATTAAGGAGCCTTCTTTGGATGAAGAAATAAGGCTTAACAGTTTCTAAGCAAGGTTAGAAAATGTGGATCTGCAATGTAATACAACTGACATTGAGAACTACTCTCTATGTCTTGTATGTGTTGTGTGTGCATGTGGGGGGTTAATTACAACTTCTCTGGTCTGGTCCTAGGGACTGAGTTGCTGTTGGCAGTGGGTGCAGATTAGATGTGCTCCCACAGAACAATTCCTGCTGCCAAAGTGAATCTAGCTCTTGCGCTCTGATCTACCCCATGGTGTGAATGAAAGTGCAGTTAAGTTGGAATGAGCTGGAGACTTGCTTCAGCAGTGTGTTCCTGATTTGAACTGGAAAAACACCCCAAAAAGATGTGCCCTGATGACAGACACCAACACCTGCATCCTCTTCATACCTGTGGTAACAAGTGGTGCCCTAGTACCTAGAAGGATGGAGGAAGAGGCTTGTCCTCTTTCACACTGAGTCATGGGGAAAAAATGATGAGAAAAAGATTCTAGGATACTTCTGAATTGTAATAAAGAGAAAGGTATTTTGTATTTTAGTTAAAGGCATCTCACCTAGTTAGAACCAAAAGATGCTGCACATGGATATGCTCTTTATGAGATGGTATCTGTTGGAAATAGGTCTCTCTAGCATAATTTGCTTCTAAATGCCATTATAGCTAGATAGATTAAAGTTAGCCTGGATGATTTACTTAGAAATCAGGAGAAAGTATCTTTTTTTGTCTTTTACATAATTTGCCAAATAATGATACATTCTCATGCAAGTGAACATTCTTTATCCTTTTGCTCTCAAGCTGAGTGCTCCATCACAGGCAGCTCTCATTTCACAACATTTGATGGACGTCATTTTACCTTTCTTGGGATTTGCCAGTACATTCTGGTAAAAGGCACTGGAAAAAACAAATTCACGATCACTTTACAAAAAGCACCTTGTGGGCAGGTAAGCCACAGCTTTTTGAAATGTTGAAACAAACCTGTCCATCTCTATTTCAGACAATCTTCTATAAGTTCTACTGTAAACTACTTGGTTATGTGAAATAGAAAATATAAACTGAAACCATCTTACAGCTTTCTTTTTGGAATTGTGTTGCAACAGGCTTATTGCCTTTTGCAAGTCTATTGCAACTTTAGAGAGATCATGCCTAAAGGGTTACTCATTTATGCACATTAAATTGTATAAACATCCATAGTTATGGTACCAACATATGACCAGCTTTGGAAAAAAAGCTGCTATTGGCAGCACTGTAGGTTTAATATATCAGTATTTAGGCAAGATTTTTTTTTTTTTTTTGTTATTTTAGATTTTCATTTGATATGTTACAACATATTTAATTTGTTGGAACAATGCCTTTTAGAAAACTATGTATGAGACTAGACACCACACATATGTTTGAAAATATTTTGGCAGGCATTCAACAACAGGCTTAGGAATAAAGGTTCTTATGAAAAGTATTTACCTGTGAGAGTCAATTTAACCATGCTGTTAGTCAGCTTTCAGGAGAAGAGGCTTTGAGATTGTGGCTCACAGCTGTCCATGTGCTGAGGACAGGGATGTCTGAACTCCTCAGCAGGGAGTGATGCCCTACTATGGGACTGTTTCTCATGTCCCCACTTCAAATGCATGACTATAGGCTGGTGCCTCTGCCTTTTTTGTAAGCACCTCCTGCTCCTGTGTAGGTGTTGAGACAACTGTTTCTGCATGTCAGGTGGCCTTAAGCATGAAATGGTTGGTTAGGTAGCCACTGACAAACAAGAATGCTGCTGGTAATAACCCTTTGTATAGCTCTGTTTTTCTGTACAGAAACATGGGAATGTTTCTGAATGAAAATAAAGGGGTCCCTGGAGAGCATAAGAAGCTTGGTTTCTGCTAATTGTGTGTCAGCTTTTGTCTGGTATTTAGGTTCATATATTCTGCCTGGATTGCACACTAAAATGATGTGTGTGAGATAGTTTATAGGTCACAATTTTTCAATAGTCAGATATTTATAAATTATTGTAATATAATTCTGGAGAGTTTATATACTTTTTGTCTGTAATCAGAGAACATCACTACATTTTAAGATGAGGAACACCCTTCATGTGCACCATGAAGGGTGTTTTTTCTTGCATTGCTGCATTTGTGCTCTAGCTGCAGCAGCTTGATTTAGACAGGGTCAGACTTGCTCTACCATTGGTTTACCCATCAATGAGCAGTTCCCAGAGTAGCTATGCAACTATGGAATTCTGAACCCAGTATCAGTGACTAGGGATCTCTGTCCACTTATTATAAGACAGCCATAATAGCTAAAATGCATTTTCCTAGCATAAGGAGATTATGCATAAGCAATGTTTTATTATGTTGGACACACAGTTTTGAGTGCTTTGTTTAATGCTTTAAGCAATAGTCTACAACTGATTTACCTGATTACATTCTGATATTTCCTTTCTATAAGCTTGTTTTTCCACCTGTTTGTGTGGTTCTGTTTTCCATGGTAATACTCTGTGATTACCTCTTTCTGATGGTGAAATTTGTTTCTACTTAGAACTTTGACCACGCCTGCATTGAATCTATAACACTAGTTCTTGAAGATGATGTGAGGAAACAAGTAACTCTCACCAGATATGGTCAAATCCAAAGTGTGCCCAACCAAGTTTTTAATCTCAATGGTAAGAAGTACATGGAGAAGAATTTTACCAGTGTTCACATTCTGTCCATTATATTCTCCAAATTTTTTTAACAATATCTCTCCACGAAAAGGGAATTTCTTTAAACATAACTTGTAAAAGTGTTCAATTTCTTACATTTTAGAACTTATATAATTATATAAATTTACTCTTATTGTCTATGAAACAGTTTATATGCCGTCATATGCTTCATATGCCCTCTTTCTTATCTTACAGAGAACCTAGAAATCCCACTAATTTTATTTATTTTAGGGAAGGAGGTAAGAAAAATAAAGGAGGTGAAGAGGCCTTGATGATAAATTCTAGGCTTGTTTAAAGCTTTTCAGACTAAATAGAATTGAATAGAATCCATGTGCACCAAGAGATCTACATGTATTTCACTGCTGACTTACATTGTGATTTCAGACAGGTTACTTCACATTTTTGGAAAAGATAGTAAAATAAACCAGCTTAACAGCATGTTGTAACATTAAGCACTGAAAGTAGAAATTATATTGCTAAACTTTATAACTCATAGTGACCACTTACCAGATTTTTAGTCTCTTTTTAAAAGGACAAAGTGAAAGTAAAGTTCTTTCCATCCTTCAGGAAAACAGAGTTTAGGAAGTTCTGTGCTGATGGTTGCAGCTATGTATTTTCTTCATTGAATTTCTCCAGCCACAGTTCTGCTTTTGGCATTCACAGCTTTCTATGGTAATGAGCTTCATAGCTTGGTTATGCTTTATGTTGACAATTCTGCTTCCTGATTTGATTGGTAACTTCATTTTATTTTTCTTTTTAATCAGTCCCATTCACTTCCTTGTCTCTTTGCAGTCTGCAACAAATATAATCTATGAAAAATATTTTAGTGTCACATTCTTGATAATTGTGTTTTTCTAGTAAGTCTGATCACTTAAGGACATCTTTTAGGATTTTATCTTCCTCTCTTGGTTTGTGCACCTGAGTCTTTGTGTGTGCATGCATAGAGGTTGCTTGTGAAGGTAGATCTACTTTAAGCCTGCAGTTGCAAGTAGACCAACAATATGCAGCAAATGAATGGTGTGACTGTGAAATCTCCATTTCCTCACATAATGGATTTGCTGGGAAGGAAAGCTGGGAATTTGATAGGGCCTCYATTCACATACAATCCAAGGAGGAGATCTACTGATGTCATGCAAATAGTGATAAGAGAAAACCTTCTATCTAAAGATTCAATACACGTTATAGCCATCTGTTGATTAGTCATATAATCTTGCTGGAAACTGGGAAACAAGGGTTTTTTTGTCTTGTCTTCTCATTGCCAGAGGCCTGCAGTAGCATTGCTGTCTTCTAAAATAAAAAAAAAAAAAAAAAAAAAAAAAAAAAAACAAAAAAAACACCAAAGAGATATGCTAGTGTTTTCTAGAAAGCTCACAGGTACAGAAAGGTGGGAGATTTTTTAACTGTTGACAGTAGCTGGAATTTCTGATTTGTGTTGTTACTGGAAATTAGCTCAGATGGAGAATAGGTGAGGATGTTTGGCTGATAGTGAGGTTTCTAATTTTRTTTCTGAGTTTTTGAAATCTTTTTTGCTTTATGGGTAAACCAGTACAACCTGGAAGTTGGGTTTCAGTTATTTTGTTTTTCTCCTTCTTTTGCTATATTCAGGGGCTATTGAAATTCAGAATATATCTTCTTTCTTTGTTCAACTGAAAACTAGTTTTGGTTTGAAGATACTGTTTGCTAAAGATGGAGAGAGGATCTATGTTCAAGTTGATGTCAGATGGAAGAAAAGAACATTAGGACTATGTGGAACATACAATGGAAATTTAAGAGATGATTTTTTGTAAGTTACAGGTTGTACATTTATATTGTGTTTAATAACCAGTGAAAAGTTTTGTTGACTGTAATCATCTGATTATTTAATTTCATTAACAYGCTCAAACTTTATTAAACTAACCAATATAAAATATCTTAAGAAAAATGGTAGTCACTTTTAAAAATATGAAAGTGATAAATTTAGGCATTCTAAGATGCTTTGCTAAGAAATTATGGAAAGCAACCATATTTATGCAATATTATTTGCAGAAGTTATTGGATGATAGTATTACTTAAATGCACGTTTTCCTTTTTTGTCGCTCCCTTATCTTCAGAGCAAATACATGAGCAGTGACAAAAAGAATGGGTGATAATACTGGTATCATCCTCACATGGTTGACACTTCCTACTACTTGATTTTCCTTCTTATATCAAGTTTTAATGCAAAAAAAAGTAATTCCTCAGGAATGTTTTAATTAGCAGGGCACACTTTCCTTACTTTTTAAGCTTATTTCCTCCAAAGTTYCTCAAGCTATAATGTCATAAAACTTGTTTAGAAATAATAAATGCTTCTGAAATACTTGGTGCAAGCCAGCATCAAAACACAAACAGCTCTGCTCTACAACTCCAAAATTGTCTAACAGGTCAAATTTTGACATTTTGTTCCATTTTTATACTGGTATAAAGGCCTAATCTCCTCTCTTTAATGCCTCCTCCAACTGATTTCAGAATACTTGAATTAAGCACAAGTAAAGGCAGACTTTGAGTGTAGGAACATTTTCACTTGAATGAAATATCGTGGAAAAAGTTTCCCATGCCCTCTTTTCTTTTATCATCACAAATGGAAATTCTTTTGGCACATTGATTGTTCATTGATTAGGCCTTGTTAATGAACTTGCACCCTCAGCCATGTAGTCCCTAAGGTCAGCAGGATGTTGATCAGTGTTGATATTTTCCTTTTCAGATCTCCAGCAGGGATGATAGAAGGAACCCCACAACTTCATGCCAATGCATGGAAAGTTTCCTCAGCTTGCTCCATGCCTATCAATATTCCTGTGGTTGATCCTTGCAATGTTAATCAGCAAAACGGTATGTTTTCACATGGGAGTCTGGAATTAGCTGTATATTAATATTATGGGACAGTTTTTGTTATCTCTGTGAAGAAGTTGCACATACATGTATTTCAGCTTCAGGCTTAGAGGTGCACTTTTTTTTTTTTTTTTTTGGCAAAGACTCTTCTTTCCATACATTTAGCATGTACTTGATAAATAAAAGCTATTTGGTCATTTATCGCTGGGTGTATTGGCCAGGAGTACTAAATTTTGCTGTCTACTATGCATGCAGAGTGTTAGCTGTCTGTGGTCCTGTAAATCCTACCAGTTGAGAGGAAAGATGTGATGTGTGTTTGAAGATCGATAAAGAAAGTACAGGACACAGTGTTCAGATCAAAAGTCCTCTCTCTGGCTTCTCCATGCTTGTTGCATTAAAAGTTTCTTTATCCTCTATCTATGTTCTGCATCCAAAAACCAGATCCCTGGATAAAGATTTCATTTTGGCTGGTGGCATGCCTATGGTTTGTGTTGAACTTTCACTGCCTCCCTTTTGCATTGCTGTTCTTTTCAATTAATGAAGACAATGGGTAGACTGTAGCTGCCAATTCTGACAGAATGTAGTCTAATATTTTTAATGTTACAGACGTCAGATCTCACTAAGGATGTGGGATTTATCCATATTTAGAGCCTTTTGAAGCAAGTCTAGAGTAACCATAAACCTCTAACAATGTGTGGCATTCTAAGAGTTTTTATGCCTTCCTCATGGTCTGCCTTCTAAAGCAGTATCTCTGAGCCAGACCAGCTCAGAGCCTTCATGCCTCACCCTCAGTTCTATGCTATCTCAGTGAAGGTGGAGTTTGACATAAATGTAGGCTGTTTAGAGCAGAAGGGTGGACTGCATGACATTCTGAGCATACTTTTCAGCTCTGATTTTCCTATGATCCTGTATTAATCACTGTGAAAAAGAAGAGGAGAGTAAAGTGATCCAGGCCATGCTACAAGCACACGCATCTTTTCCAGGTCTGAGATGATAATGATCTCATGAAACTAAAAAAAAAGGTTGTTTGTTTGTTTACTTATTTTGCCAGGTTAATTTTCAACTAAATCAAGTGCAGTCCATGAATCTAGTTTACTGAGAAACTTCATGAACTCTTGTGTCAATGTGTTTATGTGGCAATGAACATGGAGTGTAGGACATTCTTTTAGCAACAAAAGTAGCTTAAATATATTCCACACTACAGTGTTCCTAAGCTATTCCACCGCATGTGGTGGTAGTCTGCTTCAATGGCCAGAAGGCTGGAAGAGGGTTTGTTGCTGCTAGAAGGAATATGGCCAACATGGGATTTGCATGCCCTCAAGCTCTGGTTTGTAATACTTCCTGATACCACATGCCAAAACATATATGATTATTGCTGTTGTTAAAACAAAATGAAATGTCAAGTAGGAAAACCACATTCCAAGATTTGGGGTGCTTTTAGTTACTCATTTGAAATATATTATTTTGGCATTTAAATTTCTTGTGCTACTAGAGGAAGGCATAACTTTTTTAGTGGTTATTTTTATCTTAAGTGGAGTTTATTGTTGAGGGAGTTGCTTGTAATATAAATTTTAAACTATAGAACTTTATGGAAAGATGTATGCAAGATTTTATTGCACAGCTGGCTATGTTTGATTTTAATATTCTGTGCTATTGATTTGACTAACTGTTGTATTAAAATGGATCTGGCTGAAGCAATGTCCCCTTCTCTTAGCTGGGTATGCATCTCACTGCGATATCATCAACCAGGATGTTTTTGCTGCCTGCCATGCCTACATTAGTCCAGGGTTATACTACCAGCTCTGCCGCTTCGACGCGTGCAAATGTGGAAGCAGCTGCTTGTGCAATGCTTTGGCACACTATGCTTATGTCTGTGGCAAGCATGGCGTCATTGTTGACTTCAGATCTCATATTTCTTACTGTGGTGAGTAACATTTTCATAATGCAATATCTTTTAGAAATATGTGAAAGTCTACAAATTTCATTTGCTCCACAAGACAGGGCTTGGCTTCTCTTTGCATGGTGTAATGATGTACTCAGGGAGAATGATGAGAGCCTTCACATCAGGCATCTGAGTTAGTGCCCCTGAACTGCCTCACAGGGAGTGGCTGCCCTTTCTGTTGGTCACAGAGAGAAATGAAAATCCTTCTTTGAAACCCTAAGTCATATGGAAGCCCCTATTAGGACAAGGTAGTCAGGGAGTGGCAGGAAGGAAGCCATTCCCTAAGAGGAAGCAAGCTGGGCTGGCAAAAGCTCCCTAGGGTGGGCAGAGCAGGGTGGGCAGTGATTTGACAAGCAGGATAGAGTAATGATTTAAAACAAGGCATTTCACAGAATCTTAGAGTATCCTGAGCTGGAAGGGACCCACAAGGGTTATTGAAATCCAGCTCCTGTATTTCTGTTTCTAAGCCATATAGCAGTGCCTCAGCCTTACCTGGACCATTCTGCCTCTCTTGGAAGCCCAAATTACTAGACAGATGCCCACTTTAACATATAGAAAGAATAGACAGCTCCTATTTACAAAACAGTTCCAGCCAAATAATTATTTTAACACAAACCCTCTGAATCTAAATATTTCTAACTTAAGAAATAAAAAAGCAGCTTATTTTTCTCATGCTTTTCAACTAAACCGAGTGCAGCAAGAGATCACTTTGCTTTGCTTTTTTTTTTTTTTTTTTTTTTTTTTTTTCCTTTTTTTTTTTTTTTTTTTTTTTTTTTTTTTTTTCACATTTTAAGATTATGCTGTTCTCCCTTCTTTCTCCCTCTCTTTCCTCCAGCTGTGATGTGTCACAGTGGTATGCTTTATCATCAGTGCTCTTCTTTTTGTAAACATTCATGTGCTTCACTTTCTATGGCAAATATCTGTGCTGATGACTGTGCAGAAGGATGTAATTGTCCTGATGGGAAGTATTTTGAAGAGTCGGTCAACTTCTGTGTATCAATGTAAGTAATAAAAGAATGGAATATATATAGGGGCACATTTTCCTCTTTCCAACAAGATTTAAAGTAGCTTTTCTGCTGTTTACCTCAAGATGTAGGCTGTCTAGAGAAGGTAACAAACATTATGTGAAGATTTTGTATTCTTTCTTGCTAATCAATAGTGGGGCCTCATCTGTTGTTTTGTGTATGTACATCTACTGCACTTTAGAGCAGATCTGTCAAACTGCTTCAGAGAAGGGTAATAAAACTTCTTAAATTCATGGGATAGCATTTTCACATGAAAACCTTGTCTTTAACATGAGGAAAAATGAAAAGGACTCTATAAAGCAGCAATCCATAAAGTAAGGGAGAGTATGGAAAGGGTGGCTAGAGGAGTCTTTGTTCTGTCTCACAAAGCAAACCTCTTCAGCTAAATGGGAGGAAATGGTAAATGAGAGGAAATAGTTTTTGTATGCTGCATACCAAAATTTTACAGCTTGCCACCATAGGTACTTACTGAGTTCAGATACTGAATTAAAGCTGAATGAGTATTTTATATAAATTTGAAGATTATACAGAGTTATTTCTGTTCATTACAACATGTATTTTGGAAATACCAGTAAAGTTCATACTGTGGGGATAAAGACTTTTTCAAACTATTAAAGTGTGAGGCAATTTGTTATTTGCATATTTTTTATGGTTTCTAGGTAATTCTGTTGCTGCTTCTAATCCACCTGGATCTTATCACAGAGTTAATGGATTTTGCTATGATAATTGCTCTATCCCATGATTTTAACAATATGATGAATTGGAATTGCATATTTCCATTCCACTCCCATAAGTGAGAAGAAAAAGTCCTTTCTATTAGAATAATGCACAGAAAGAGCAAATAAAAAGTGCAAAGATTGAGGAAAATCCTGGCTTTATTGAAGGCGATACGAGTTTTGCCACTGATTTCAATACAGTCTGAGTGTCATCTTTAAGTTGTCTTTCAAAGAACATTGTACATATAAGGACTGGGTTAATGAATCGAGTTAATGCTAAGACCTGCTTACCATAATACCTTGATAAATAGATGGCCCTTAAATCCCATTTCATCTTGCTTTAGTATCTAAATGCATGAATATTCTTTTAACAGATCTGGCTGTCATTGTCATTACAAAGGCAAAGTCCTCCAGCCTGGAGAAATCATTCCTTCACCAACAGGCTCCTGGTAGGTTTGAGTGCCAAGAGTTTTATCTTTCTTGTATCACAGTTTGGATGCTATTTTAAGTGATCTGAGCATTTTTTTCAAGTTGATTGAAGGTTTATTGTATCAAGATTTTTTTTTGGTTTTGCTCACTTAATACAAGGAAGCCTAGTATAAATTGGATTATGTACCTGATTATTTTAACAAAATACCTGGAAAATTCTGTAAGCTGCGGGGGAAAAGGTTTTGTGTTATACTGCCTGCATCCTGAATCACCTGGCCCCCATTCTCACAGGGGTTGACATACTCAGCGTTTTTTAAATTTTGGTGGAATTTAGGAAATGACATAGTACATGAACTCTGAATTTAAGCCCTCACTACAGATCAGCAGTTAGTAAATACCAATAAAATGTTGAGCAGAGCTCAAGCTTTTTGATTTTACTCCTCTTTCTCCTCCTGATTTCTGTTGTTTAAATTAGGTTGAATTTTATAATCTTCTTTAACATGGTGACTACAAAACACTTTTCCCTTGAATAAACTTGGGTTTCCTTGTCTTTTCTAGTCAATGTTTGAATGGAACAGTGAAATGTATTGAAGCCACTACAGAAAATATAGGTAATTTATAGTCTTGTCCCATATTAAAGTTTGCACAAAGAGACAATTTGACATTGAATAGTAATTTGGTTTTTCTCCTTGAATGTATTTAAATTATGGGAGATTTTGCATGACAACATATTTAAAATCGGAGATTAGGAGCACAAATTGTCTTGGTTGTTTATTCAGTTTTTTCTTTTTCTGTAGCACAAATTGTACTACTTAGTCACTTGGGAAATTAAAGAAAAATAAAAAAATTGCATGTGACATCTAGGTCAATGTGTACTCATGGGAATACCTATACTTAGGCTCACTATCCATGTTAAGGAAGCGGTAAGATCTTAATTTCTAGAAAGTAAACGTTTTAATGCATTTCTAATGTATTTGGAAGTACCATGAAAATTATTCTACTTCTAAGGGTTTTTCTGCCTGAGGCACAATAACTCCATCTTTGAGAATGGACTGTCAGATTCCAGGTGCATACATCCAGAAGCTTACTATTATGTTTTTTTGATATTAGAACATATATTAATTGTATATCTCTGTAATATAGATCATGTTATAGACTGTTATTCAGATTGCATTGTTATGTGAACTGTAATGGAACTTCACTTTGTAACCAAAGAAATAGATTGTGATCAAAAGCAACTAGAAAACCTTCAGTGTGAAAGAACAGTTCTAACCTGCATTTTGCATTTGAAGTTCACATATGCCCTGAAGGAAAAATCTACTATGACTGCAGATCTCCTGTGCCTGGAWTACCAGCAGCCGGTGTGAATTGTGGCATATCTTGTGCAAACCTTGCCATGAACTTCTCCTGTGTCCCCTCACCACCCTGTGCAAGTGGCTGCATTTGCCCCTCTGGGTAAGTTTTGATGGAATAACCTGGAGCACAAGCCAAATACATATTTTCCACTGTTTAACTCTGCTTATTTTTTCTTCTTTTTAAATTCCAGTGGTATTGCACCTCTAATTTTGAAACCATTGTTCTATGAAATGTCACAGACACACAATAACAGCTAAAAGGCCATCAGTTATTCAGCTTAATACCAGTCCAGTTGGCTGGTATTTGGGACTATCTAGACAGGAGGTGACTTCTACCACTTGCACAATATAGTTTATTTGAATGTAAAATCTCAAGATTGTACTTTGAGCCATGTGCTACATGACAACTCCAGGAACTGCTCTCCTGAAGAACATCATTGGGAATGTCATTAGCACTTCGGTTAAAAAAGTTAATGTTGCTAAATAGGTAGAAATGAGATAGCAAAATGTTTGACCATATCTCTGGGTTGCTTATTGATCTAATGCATCAAATGCCTGTTTTGTCTTAAGCTTGTTAGGTGTTTCAGATTTCCTTGTGTAGGCAAGTATCCTTCACCCCCCCCTTCTTAGACTGTGCAATAGGTGCTGTAGCCCAGCTCACTGTTGCGCTCTCAGGATGGGTGCTGTCTGTGGAGAGGTGCGGGCACACCAGTGCAGCTGCTTCCCCAGCATAGCAGGACAAGAGAGCAGCAGAGAGGGATGGGCAGTCTTGCTGCAGCTGCAGCAGCTTGCATGGTACACAGAAGCTCTGCAATTTTTAGGGAGGAATACCTGCACCATCTACACTCCTGCATGGGAACTGCTGCCCACACCAACAAACCCTTTGTAGATAGAAGGAGAGCTGTAGCTGTGAGCAGCTGTGAGTTGGCAAGGTCTCCAGCTGTGCACAGTGGAGATCACTTGATTTRGACAGCTTTTGCTGATGAAACAGTTTTCCTCAGCTGGACGGAAAACCGGTTGCCCTTGGTGGTGTTTAGACAATACACTACACATTCAGTTGCATTGATTGTCTTGTAGATTAACTTTTTCGTCTTAATAATTCTTTTACTTTGAAGGATGGCTGAGCATAGAGGGAAATGTTATATTCCTGACAGTTGTCCATGCACCTGGAAAGACAGGGAATTTCTGTCAGGAGAAGTGATAGCTACTCCATGTTACACATGGTGAGTGACATTAATTTTGCATTCTTCTAAATCATCTGGATCTAGACTCAGAGTGAGACTGATACAGAAAATGTGTTGAGTACAAATCAAATATTTAAGTTCTTGTTTGTAGATAGCTACAGGATATATCTTTTATTAGGCTTACTGACAGACTTGGATAGTAGGAAGACTTTGGGGTGAGTGCCTCTTCAGATGTGAAAATTAAATTGAAGATATCCAGGTTAAAAAGCAATCAGGAAGAAATGCTTAATTCCATACATTATTTGTTGATCTCTGAAGAAGAGACATTTGGCATTTTGCAGAATAGAATATCATAAAAGACAACCAAGCAGAAAAAGAGAGATATTGAATGTATGGCAGTGGTAAATAGTCTGCTCTTTTGAGAAATGGATGGTTTGCAATGTAATTTGTCAGTTACTATGAGTGATTGCAAAAGGAGAACATGGGCAAATTGGAAAAAAGAAATACGTTAGAATTGAAAAATGAGCTAGTCGCCAGCATCTTTTTTAAGGAGCTTTACCTGATTCATATGGACACAAAACAGTTTTTCATCTATGCTAGTTTGCTAGACGAAATACCTATATTCAGTTAAGTATATATTTAATAATGAAAAAGAATTGGCATGGCATCTTTTAATTAGTTAAAAACTGCATTGGGAAATCAACTGAATATTTACACTTACCAAAGCAAAAATAGAGGATGCCAATACTACGTTCATACAAATTTGTGTAAGCCACTGAATGTAGCTGACAGGAAAAATAATCTTGCAAATTTGTCAGCAATAATTTCTTAAACTCATTCCATATTTGTCTGATGCCCTGAAATCTTACAGGTAGCAACTGGAGGTATTTTCCTTTCAATATTTGCAGACCTTTACCCAAATTTGGAAAGAAAAAATAGAATATTGATGTCTTATGAATGAGCATATTGTGGCATTGTGCCTTATCTTTACTGGAGGCAGTGATGGAAATATTTGCACAAGCCATGAAAAGTTTGAGATTTTTCATTTATTTTTAATGCATTTTTATTATACATATGGACTGGTGGGAAAATATTCTACACTTTTTTTGCCATGGTGTCACCACTATCTTCAGAAGCAATGCACATCACAAGTCTCTGTTTCAAGGTCTGAGAATTTGATTCCATTAATGAATTTCTGTACAATTTGGAAAAAAAAAGAGCCCGAGAAAGCTTTTTCTTGAAAATGCACAGCAAATGACTATGTTATGAGTAGATACTGACTGTTGGTTTTCCTTGCAGTGTTTGTCGGAGAGGCGTCTTCAACTGCACCAGTTACCCCTGTCCTTCTGTGTGCACCATTTATGGAGACCGACATTATTATACCTTTGATGGACTGGAGTATGATTATGTCAGTGACTGCCAAGCTTACCTCGTAAAGGTAAAAGGACTGTTCATATATTTGCTTGTGTCCATGAGACAACAAATATTTTAAACATCAGGAGTTGATCTGCAGAAGCAAACATTAAGAAAACAGGTAGAATAGATATGAAAGAAGAATCTGTAAATGACTTTTTTTCTCATTTGTTTGAAAATGGCAGATAGGTGTATTCTTTAGAGAAAAAGAAAAAAATCGATGTTTTCTGTTCTATCTTAACCGTGCCTTTGTCAAAATGAGCAAAGAGTGGCACTATAGAAACTGTTAGAACTAGGTATAATCTAATTTTCATTTAATAGTTATCTATAAACCCTGCTTGGCATAGGGTTAATGATGAGCTCAGGCTGTTTGGAATTCTTCTTGAACGTGATCTGCATCAGATCTGGATTGTATGTGTATAATAATATCAAACACAATGATTTCATAATTCAACAATGAAATAATTCATTGAGATTGTCTGACAGCTACATGCTAATATTCTTCATAGCACACATTTATAGTACATTTCTAGCTTTTTGTTTAAAAATACCATTACTGGCATTTTAAAATATAGTCTATTACTAAAACCATTATTGTTGCTATTTTAAGACTGTCTCTCTTCTCAGTTACAGTAAGGTGTTTAGAAAAATACTAATTTTCCTGACTGGCTAACCTTAAGAAAGAAACATAGTTTCTCAATAAGGACTACTGCAAGTAATTTATTTCAAGTATGCTTTAGTAGATTAGTCACAGCTGTGAAATAAAATACATTGGCTCCAGATTTTTAAGTTTGTTTACAAAGAAAAAAGAAGAGAGGTTTGGAAAATATAATAATAATCATAGCAAAATCCTGGCATGTAACATATATGATAAAAGACGTCTTACTCTTAGAGATACATGAACCTTTGTACAAGCCTTCCTCCATTAAAGTGCAAAAAATAGGGATTGCTTTACCTGTAAAATCATCTTGTCTGTATGATGATGTAGAAAAATGGGTAGTAATTTCTTATTTTTTGTGCCATCCATTCAGAGGTTTGTAGGAAAAACCTATGCTGCTTTTTCAAACTTTAGTATGACACTGGAATTTGACTTTTAGAAAGTCAAATTTTTTACAAAAACAATTTTTTTTTACAAACTTTTTACAAAAGTTTGACTTTTACAATCAAATATCACCTGTCACTCTATTGCATAAGAAAGAACCTATCTGGAAACAAACCATGGGGAGCATTTGGCATCCAAGAATAAAGTTGTCAGTCAGATAATTAAGGCATGTGGCACACTGCCAATGGGCTATTCTTCAGGTGAACATGACACAAGTGATGAAAATGCTGCCTACATAGAGGTGCTTTTCATACTTCTCAGACTTTTTCAGCTTTTCAAACTTTATTTTTTTTTCCCCAAACTCAGCGAATGTGGGAAAGTATAGCCTAACTTGTTCATAATTTTTCTTTCTTCTTTAGTATATAGAAAGATTTCATGATCTGATCACTTATTTAGTAGAAGTTATGCACTGCATAATTATGTCTGCAACAGATGATATATCTCTGTGATAATTTTTGACTGGAAAATGTTGAGAGAATTTTTAAGGGGGAAAAAAAAGAAAAAGAAACAAAGGATGGCATTATATGGCAGATGCCACAGAATTTTGAGGGAACTAGAACACAGAACTGATGAACTATGTGATGTGCAGTCCTGGAATCAGAGGAATGGAAGACAGCAGTGTAACCAAATATTTTAAAAGGAATTAATGGCTGAGTTTGGCAGGAATAGACTAATATGTCTGATTTATATATGAAGGAACTTAATAAGTTTCATAAAGAGAAATTGCAATGGGGTAAGAGTTGAACCACACCTCTTTTTTTAAAATAAAAGAAATTGATGCATGATTAATCTGAGTTATTTAGTGAAGGCAATAAATACATGAATAAGAAGGATAATCAGGTTAATATGTATGTATATTAGCTCGATGACCTTTTGGAGAAGGCTTTAAAAATATTTAGAGACTACTCTCATATAGGATGAGAATGAGTATTCTTTGAGACATGAATTCACAGAATCACACAATGGGTCAGCTTGGAATGGACTACAGTGGGTCATCTGGTCCAATCTCCCTGCTCAAGCAGGGTCAGTCTAGAGCACATGGCCCATTTCATTATCTCCAGTGAGGGAGATTACACAACCTCTCTGGAAAATCTGTTCTAGTACTCAGTCACTTGCACAGTAAAGTTCTTCCTCATATTAAGCAGAATTTCCTGTGAATCTCCTTTTGCCCATTGCCTCTTGTCCAGTCCCTTCATCTTTGTTGCCTTCCACTGGATTAATTACAGATCAGAGGTTAAAACATTGGAATAAATGACTTTGTTTTTAGAAGGGAGAAATTTTTGGTGAGATCCCACAGGGATCCATGCTGAGACCTGCACTCAGCACTTTCAGAACAGTTTTGGAAGGGTGATGTGAGGATTGAGGTTAAGTATTCTGATGACAAAGATTCAGTGTGAATAGCTGAAACAAAAGCTCCAGGAGATCTTATGGCAGAAAACACTGCATAATAAAATGAAAGAGGAAATTCAAATATGAACAACTGCAAATCAATGAACAGAAAAAGCCTCTGTAACTACACGACCATGAAGATCATCACTAACTTAACTACTATTATGCAGGAATGGAATTTTATGTGAGGAAAATAAATTAAACACATGTAATGTCCATGTGCATAGTGGCAGCCTGAGTCATAATCCAGTGTCATCCATTCTCCAGTTTCACATATGCTTTTATTTGCATGTACACAGTTACCCTACAGTTATACACGTACTGACATAGTTAAGCTGTATTATATACACAGATATGATAGCATGATGAGGTTGCCCTTGTCTGAGGTATTCTTTTTTGTTCTTAGAGCAGAGGTTTCCATCTCTCTCTCTCTGTATAGGCATCTTCCCTTATATTGTGACATTTTAAATAGTACTATCTGAGTAATATGAGTCTGTCTTGAGTTACAAGTTGTTGAGAAGGTATGCAAGAGAGCCCTGTCTCTTATAGTCTGTTACGCTAATAGAGAAGCCAGATGAGATGTGGAAAAGTATATACACAGATGCAAAATTTTAAATTCCTTGCCTAACATCGTGGCAGGCACAGCTATCCCAGACAGTAGCACCTAAACTTTGCTACCTGTTCTATAAACCAATTTTTTTTTAAAATCAAAGAATTATAGAATGATTTGGTTTGGACAGGACCTTTAAAGGTCTTCAATCCAACCCCCCTGCCATGGGTATGTGTATGCTGTGTGCTTCAAATTTCCCGCTTGTAAGGTATTACATAGCATCATAGATTTGATAGCTGCTAAAACACATTCCATTGACTTAATGCTAGTTTGTGGTGCTGTTGCAAAGCTGGTTTTTATGGATATCATGTAAAATGCTTACCAAAAGCCTGAAATGGAAGCAGCTGAAATGATTGCAATATTGTATATCAACACTGTAATAAGTTTGTCCTTTCGCTTTTATCCTTCAACCTTTTTCCTGTAAGCAGTGGACTGCTTTATCTCCACTCACAGAAATAATCTAAAGGTTTAGCAGAGCAATAAAGGAAGTTAGAGCTACAATCAGTTTGTTGGCATATGAGCTCTTCCCAAATATAGAACTGAGTGCAAGAATTATAATCTGAATCCCTTGTCCCCAGAGACATGATAATGTGCTGCTCCCATGCATATTACCAACCCTCACTGTTTGATTTGGCTGTTGGCCTCCCTAAATCTGATCTGTTTGAGCAATTCTTTAACTTGTCATCATATTGCACTGTACCAAAGAACTCATCCTTACCTTTTATTAAGTTTTTAATAAGGAGCCTTTGTGCTCTTGTGGGAGAAAAATCAAGTATAAGCTTTCAGCCGATTATGAAACTTACTTGTTTTCAACATCAGTGTCGCCTGTCAGGCCTTTTGTTTAAGGTGACAGTAAGTTTATAAAAAATCCTTTATAACTAGTTCAACAGACATATCCATTGGGCAGAAAATGATGGAAAATATTTAGAGCAGCAATTAAGAAATTAGGGCACTAAAGTACCATAAATGATAATTTAATCTTTAAGGAATTAGGAGTTACATTAAACACTGAGATGTAAAGTCCATGCGCAGATAAATGGCATTTGCAGAGAAGACATCAATATTTACTTTTAACATTTTAAAATCTCAGTAATTTCTAAGGTAAAAAAAAAAATCTTTGCAGACTAATTTATCAGTGCATATCATGTGGGCACTTCCTTTTGCTAATCTAAATATGAATGGACAATTTAAAGTCAAACAGTTCCTTAATTAAAAATATTTAAATATCTTTGTTTCTTCCATTTTCTTGCTTGTTGCCTTATTTTATTATCTTTGATGATGCTAGAGCCTTTCCCCCAAAAARTGTTGTTACTTTTTTGGCAAACTTTTTACTAGTTGCAGTCTGTTTCTTCCACTTTCCTGTTTCATAGTTCTGCTTTTAAAGTAAAATTGCTTTCTTTTTATGACAGGTGTTGGCCTTTTTCTGTCTTCATGGGGGTTTTCAGTCCTGCAGCTCAGCATGTTTTTAAGGCTTGTAGGGTCAGATCATTTGGAACCCCTCAGACATGTTCTCTTCCCTGAAACAGAAGAGAACTTTTTCTCAGAAAAATCTCAGAAAAATTGTTAGTAGTATGTCTCAGAAAAAAAGAATATTCTTAGAAAATATTCTGAGAAGAGAATATTTTCTCTGCCTTGGAGCAGACTCCAAGCAAGAGTTTAGGGAGATAAACTGCCCATCAGAATATTCTSAAATGAGAGGGTACTCTGTTGCAATGCTGATTTGCCTTTTAGAAAACACCCAAAATCCCCCAGTGAAGTATTTCCACAAACTGGAGTAGGTAGTCAAGGAGGACACAAAGCACAGAAATGGATGGACTGTTTCATTCCTATATCTTGAAAGATGAAGATAAGCTTAACTAAGCCTTCAACCTCAAGTATTCAAGACTAATCTATAGTCTTAATTTCAAAGTATGCAATAAAAATA